ACACAGTTGTTCGAATTACACAACTGGGCAGCGGAATGCTATCTACGGGAATCGATTGTCTGGTCCAGAGTCCATTATTTACAGACTGCCACACAACTGTGTATTACCATAGTCACACCTTTGTACTTGTTTGTGAACTTCATCAATTTTAAAGCTGTTCATTACAGCACACTTCTTTGGCTGCACGCCCAGTTCTTTCACAGACTCCACGGTTAATTGTTTAGTTTCAACAAATATCTTAAATATTCCCATTGTTCTACTGCTGCAAATAGAGGCCACTTCTGTTAACTTTGTTGTGTTAATTACCTTATGTACTGCGGATAAAAATGTAGCTTTTGCGAATGCCCACTCGGGTAATGTATTAGAGTGTTTCAGGAATACCGTATTCAGTCATATGTAAACTGCTGCTGTGCCCTGTGTACTTCGTGTCTAATGTAGCAAGCACCTTATGTAATGAATCAATATTGTGCTCAGCTGATGTTCCTGGCTTACGTTTGTACTTCTATAACTGATATCTTAATAATAATAATGTGTCCATTTATATAGCGCCAAACTCCACACTAGGTATGCTCATAGCGCTAACAATCAAGGCCTTTATTACCCCGGATAACCCAAGCTGCCTGTTAGGCTCTAGAAGGTTATAGTCATATGACTTTTTTCCACCGGGTACCCATTTTCCTGCTGGGTGAACAGAGACAATTTTGAACAAACTCACATGCCTAAGGTGAGACCACATGTGTCACATGTGCTTCGTTGTGGGGCAGGACTCAAGTCCTAGAAACTCTCAGGAGTCAAGCTGCCAAACACGGTCACCCATCAAAGGACTCTCCGAGCTCGACGCTGCTTAACTTCACCGATTTGTGACCTGAGCTTTTTTAAGCACAGGACCACGCGGCACCACTTCACCACGCGCCATCTTCTATGACATACTCTAATAATTGATTGTAAACATTTCTATCATTGACTGTCTAATAAACAGATTGTTTATTCAATTTGTTGTTGTGTGGATTGGTGGTGTAGAGTGGTACCTCTGCCAAGCGAGGTGATTTCCCACTCTCGTGTGAACAATATGACCTCATCATTGTATCAAGACATAACATTCAAGCATAATTTAAATTCACATTCGTTTTGAAGACATTCAAAGAGTTCTACGGGCAAAGAAAATGTTTAAAATGTCCTCTATATTACGTCTTCGCAAATCGCTGGGATTTTGACAAATTTGAATTCATTAACATGTTTCCAGTTATGATAAGCCAGAATGCAATGAACGTAACTAGTGACCAGGATATCTGATGGTCTGGTCTTTGTACGATACTACATATACATGGATAATACAACACGACATTGAAATTGACATGGTCATTACAGGAACACGGTTGTTAATTAGGAAATAAACATCATGTGTTGGCCAATTTCCGGGTGTAATTGAGTATTTGAAGCACGGGAATTTATTTGGAACCGACGGCGTCAGCCGGAGGTTTCAAATGGAATATTCCCGTGCTTCAAATACTCAATAACACCCGGAAATTGGCCAACACATGATGTTTATCGACTTTGTAAACACAAAAGTAAACAAAAAGGTCCACACACGTCCTGCACTCATTGACATCGTGTACGGGTACAGCAGTGAAATGTCATCAACCGGTCGTTTCGGCTGTCTCTCATGGTAGCATCTTGAACTGCTCATTTGTGACGTCATTCGGACTTTACGTCACAAGAATGATTTGAATGACGTCATCACAGCTGACGACGTAACAATACAATGGTGTGAGCGATGTTTGTATGTATTAATACGCAGCGAATTTCCGGGAATCGAATACCATTTGATCACGTTTTTCAACCAATCAGATTAAAGAACACAGTGAATTTTGGTTTACAATCTCAGGTAGTTTAGTTAGTAAGTATAGTTCTACGCCACTTAGCAATATCGCAGGAATATCACACCCGAGGGAAACTAGAGTGAGTGAGTGAGTTTAGTTTTACGCCTCACTCAGCAACATTCCAGCTATATGGCGGCGGTCTGTAAATAATCGAGTCCGGACCAGACAATCCAGGGATCAACAGCATCGATCTCCGCAATTGGGAACCGATGACATGTGTCAACCAAGTCAGCGAGCCTGACGATATAGCTCTTACGACAAGCAGGGTTACTGAAGATCAATAGTCTAACCCGGACCTTCACGAGTAGGGAAACTAGAAGTCTTCTTCACTATATTACCCTAGCCGGTCAGGAGACCTGAGGCGTGTTCAACAGAACGAATACTCCTTTAGCGAGTACCTGCGTACACGCTAACTTCGGCTGAACGGGAAATTGGCTGGCTGGTACTTTCCAAGATGGCGTCGAGCGACGAAATGCGCAGAGTCTTTTTCGCTACCAGAAATATTCAATTTGTTACGATTCATTATAAAATCTGGAGGTTTACTTAAATTAAGCCTACACCAGTCAGTAACTTTCAATTGAATTTGAATTTCAAATAAAACTGCGACAAGTCATGTTTAAAGGCTTATGGCAGAGACATAACGGTTTGCTATTAATATCCCTTGACTACAGTCCCTGGACGTAAGTATTCGTGATTCAGATTGGACGTAATTTCCATAGAATTGCATGCTCAGTTGGTGTAGGTAATATGATTTAAAAACATTTAGTTTAGGATGGACCTTTGTCAAACATATTGTTCCAGTGTGAGGAATCGTTTTAGCGCGAACATAGTGCTACCATGTGTGTAATGTTGAACGGATAAATCTGTGAAGATTGTGTTCGTGTGCCTGAGATGACTTTCTAATTAACTGTAAAATTTGAAACTCATCCTGCAAAAATGAACTAAATGACAATTATTTCACCAACAACCAATTGACATGCAAGTCTACGGACAATACGTCCAATCACGAATACTTTTGTGTATGGGGAAAACTCTTCTGCGAGCACCACTTCTGTCCACCGACTAATATATATCCTAAGCAGTACTGGACGGCAAATATTACGAAAACCTTTCACAACCTAAATCCTCACCAGTAAGGCATCTCCTGTGGGCGCTGGGTAGTGGTGTTCCGATGATCGATTATAATCAAAAATTGATTGGTTACCCTTTCCAAACGCGACAATCGACTGCAAAATTTCATAATCGATTGTCGCTAATAATTCTTACGAAAACAGTAATGAATACCCAACTCAGACCACAAGACAACTGGCAACTTCTATCCGCATTATTCACAGAAATCACAAACATATTGCGTCCACTCACGCCTCGAAATGAAGTGTAGTTGACAGAAAATGGATACATACATATATTTTGTTTTGTTAAATGTCATATTTATTGGAGCTTGCGATCACAACAAACTGTCATGTGTATTTCACCTCATTCCATGCGCATACAACTTCTGCTTACCATGGTCATGAGGGTACGCTTTTCGCTCCAACCGTGATAGTACCAATTTTAACATTATTCTCAACAATCACAAACTGATTACCGCCTCGTCATCCATTTTCTGTCAACTACACTTCATTTCAAGGCGCATTTTAGTCATGTAGTGTTTTTATGACATCTGACAAGATCTGGTGTTTGTTGAATGGTTGGTAATTGATGCTGTTGATGGTACATAATTAACCATAAAAGAACAAAAAATATTTTCTTTTGTGTACCTCTACATGTTCAACCATCTGTCTCTGAACTGTACATGCTTACCTTCAGGAGTCTGAGACAATAACAAACACATGACCTTGTGTAATATATTTATTATTTAGAGGGTATTCTTGTGATTTAGTTTAACCGATTATTAATCGATGATTGTAATACACACCATGCACTAAAATGAAATCACATGCACAGAGTACAGACACATACACGCATGCATATTATTTTATCACATGTGTTTCGTTTCTATATCCTATGTGCTGAACCGTGAAGATCCGGGTTAGAACTGCTTTTCAGCAACCAATGCTTGTCGTAAGAGGAGACTAACGGAATCGGGTGGTTAGACTCGCTGACTTGGTTGACACATGTCGTCGGTTCACAGTTGCGGAGATCGATGCTCATGCTGTTGATCACTGGATTATCTGGTCCCGACTCGATTATGTACAGACCGTCGTCATATAGCTGGAATATTGCTGTGCGGCGTTAAACAACACCCAAAAAATAGAAACATAGCAAGTATAAGCTTCAACATATCATATGCACCCGCATACGATACGAAAGTGTCGCTTTCTCCGCTAAAATACCACTTGTTAAAATAACGCTAAAGGTGGTCGAATTTCTGAAGGTGTAACCCCGTTTCATTCACAAAATAGCCCGCCAGATCGACACATCTTGGAATTATCTTCCATTTTCAGCTGGACAGGTTCAAGATTTACAACACGGGACGCCATCTTGGCTCGCTAGGAGTGACTGCTCGAAAGTGGTCACTCGTGTATTAGCGGGTACGCGAGACCTCGTTTTCGTTCAGCGGATATTCGCGAATACTCGCGGGTATTCGTTCTGTTGAACACGCCTCTGGTCCTTCAACGAGGCGAACAGTCCCCAGTTCTGATAGAGAGCAAAACACATAAAGACGAGTAAAAGTGACAAAAATTTATATCTGAATCGACCATAATACCATTATGTGTGCTGACGTTTTGGTAAACGCCACAGTATTACAAGGAACCAAAGGAAGATTATCATTCCTGGAGGTTAGTGTTGGGTGGTGGAATGGTGGTATTGCGGATTGCGGAGGAGTGTCAATATGTGGTGGCTCTGGCTGTATCAGTGGCTACAGAGGGTCATTTTTGGAAGGGTGGTGAAAGTTGTGTCAAAAGGGATGGTTGTGAAGGTCGTCATTATAATAAGCAGTGGTTGAGGGTCAGTTTGGGGAGGTTACAGTGATATGGCGGTGGTGACGGTAGGGGAGGTTCTAGTAATGTCTGGATCATTACGCAGGAGGTGGAGGTAACTCATATTGTTGATAGAGGGTCTTGAGGAGATGGTGGAGGGTCGTTTTTGTGAATGCTCAATAGTTGGTACAGGAGATTATATGGCAGGTGGTGGTGGGTCGTTTTGTGGAGGCTCCATAGCTGGTGGAGGAGGATCGTTTTGTGGAGGCTCAATAGCTGGTGGAGGAGGATCGTTTTGTGGAGGCTCAATAGCTGGTGGAGGAGGATCGTTTTGTGGAGGCTCCATAGCTGGTGGAGGAGGATCGTTTTGTGGAGGCTCAATAGCTGGTGGAGGAGGATCGTTTTGTGGAGGCTCCATAGCTGGTGGAGGTGGATCGTTTTGTGGAGGCTCCATAGCTGGTGGAGGAGGATCGTTTTGTGGAGGCTCCATAGCTGGTGGAGGAGGATCGTTTTGTGGAGGCTCCATAGCTGGTGGAGGAGGATCGTTTTGTGGAGGCTCTATAGCTGGTGGAGGAGGATCGTTTTGTGGAGGCTCAAGAGCAGGTGGAGGAGGATCGTTTTGTGGAGGCTCAATAGCTAGTGGAGGAGGATCGTTTTGTGGAGGCTCAATAGCTGGTGGAGGAGGATCGTTTTGTGGAGGCTCAATAGCTGGTGGAGGAGGATCGTTTTGTGGGAGGCTCAAGAGCTGGTGGAGGAGGATCGTTTGTGGAGGCTCAATAGCTGGTGGAGGAGGATCGTTTTGTGGAGGCTCAATAGCTGGTGGAGGAGGATCGTTTTGTGGAGGCTCAATAGCTGGTGGAGGAGGATCGTTTTGTTGAGGCTCCATAGCTGGTGGAGGAGGATCGTTTTGTGGAGGCTCTATAGCTGGTGGAGGAGGATCGTTTTGTGGAGGCTCTATAGCTGGTGGAGGAGGATCGTTTTGTGGAGGCTCCATAGCTGGTGGAGGAGGATCGTTTTGTGGAGGCTCAATAGCTGGTGGAGGAGGATCGTTTTGTGGAGGCTCAAGAGCTGGTGGGGAGGATCGTTTTGTGGAGGCTCAAGAGCAGGTGGAGGAGGATCGTTTTGTGGAGGCTCAATAGCTGGTGGAGGAGGATCGTTTTGTTGAGGCTCAAGAGCTGGTGGAGGAGGAGGATCGTTTTGTGGAGGCTCCATAGCTGGTGGAGGAGGATCGTTTTGTGGAGGCTCCATAGCTGGTGGAGGAGGATCGTTTTGTGGAGGCTCCATCGTTTTGCTGGTGGAGGAGGATCGTTTTGTGAAGGCTCTATAGCTGGTGGAGGAGGATCGTTTTGTGGAGGCTCAATAGCTGGTGGAGGAGGATCGTTTTGTGGAGGCTCCATAGCTGGTGGAGGAGGATCGTTTTGTGGAGGCTCAATAGCTGGTGGAGGAGGATCGTTTTGTGGAGGCTCCATAGCTGGTGGAGGAGGATCGTTTTGTGGAGGCTCCATAGCTGGTGGAGGAGGATCGTTTTGTGGAGGCTCTATAGTAAGTGGAGGAGATTGATGAGGAGAATTTGTATCTGTTAATGTGACGGGAGAACCTGAAGCAAATTGTTTATAGCTATGGATAGTGTTTATTACAGCTCCTTGTGTTTCTTTTATTCATGTGATTGAATTACACCGAAACTTGATCTTTATACGGTAATATATAATGTGAATATGAAGACAATGTTGCAATGTTTACCTGACATGTCAGCACATATGCTCCCCGATTGCAATTTGTTTTCCTGGCATTTGCAGAAATTGTCTCTGCAAGCGGTATATGCTGTGAAGGAACAGTCTTTGTTCGTTGTGCAGCTGGATCCAAACGTTTGAGGGGCTGACAAAAGAAACACATAACAAGCGTGATATCCACAAACACTACTCACTATCTCTTCTCAGATCAACGTAAGGCGGGATAATATGAAAACACCTGAAGACCAACGAGTATCATTGCATTAATGTGCATAGTCACAAACCAAATGATAAAGGGTGGAAACAGATCAGATACTCTTTAACTCCAGCTAGTGTCGATATTACTTGGTCATTCCTCCAGAGGAAAGAGCATCTGAAGAAAAATAATTAAGAACACGCACAAACGCTGAAACATCTTATGGTGGAATGGAGTATTTTAGGAACTGCCATTCAAATGTTGATCTATTTTGCATTTGTTGGTGTATTATTTCTCAAGAGCAGAATTCGGTATTTAATTTTTGTTTCTGAGAATATATGGTTAGTAGGTTTATTAAAAATATAATTTTTACCAATGTTACGTGGCGATCGCACCGTGCTTCCCTCTGGAATTACTGCACCCTGCTGTGGGTACAACAGTATCATTGGGAGACTGGTGTGGGTATAACTTCATCACTGGGTGGCTGGTGTGGGTACAACGGTAACATTGGAAGACTGGTCTGGGTAAAACTGTATCATTGGGAGACTGCTGTGGGTACAACAGTATCATTGGGAGACTGGTGTGGGTATAACTTTATCACTGGGTGGCTGGTGTGGGTAAAACTGTATCACTGGAAGAATGCTGTGGGTACAACAGTATCATTGGGAGACTGGTGTGGGTGTAACTGTATATCTGGGAGACTGACATGGGTATAACTGTATCATTGGGAGACTGGTGTGGGTATAACTGCATCATTCGGAGACTGGTGGGTATAACTGTATCATTGGGAGACTGGTATGGGTATAACTGTAGCAATGGGAGACAGGTGTGGGTTTAACTGTAGCAGTGGGAGACTGGTGTGGGTATAACTGTATCATTGGGAGACTGATGTGGGTATAACTGTATCGTTGGGAAACTGGTGTGGGAATAACTGTAGCAATTGGGAGACTGGTATGGGTATAACTGTATCATTGGGAGACTGACATGGGTATAACTGTATCTTTGGGAGACTGGTGTGGGTATAGCTGTATCATTGTCAGACTGACATGTTTAAAACTGTATAATTGGGAGACTGACATGGGTAAAATTGTGTCATTGGGAGAATGATGTGGGTTTAGTTGTATCATTGGGAGACTGATGTGGGTATAACTGCAGCAGTGGGAGACTGCTGCGTGTTTACCTGTATCATTGGGAGACTGAACTGGGTATAACTGTATCATTGGGAGACTGGTGGGTATAACTGGATCATTGGGAGATTGTTGTGGGTATAACTGTATCGGTGGGAGACTGTTGTGGGTATAACTGTATCATTAGGAGACTGATGTGGGTATAACTGTATCATTGGGAGAATGGTGAGGGTATAACTGTATTATTGGGAGACTGGTGTGGGTATAACTGTATCATTGGAAGACTGGTGTGGGTATAACTGTTCATTGGGAGACTGACAACTGCATGTGGATACAACTGCATGGGTATTGGGGAGACTGGTGTAGGTATAACTGTAGCTGTATAACTGTATCATTGGGAGACTGATCTGGGTATGTGGGGTATAACTGTATCATTGGGATCGTTGGAGTATCTTGGGAGACTGGACACTGACTGACGGGTATAACTGTATCATTGGGAGACTGAGACTGTGGGTATAACTGTATCATTTGGGAGACTTGTGGGTAGGGTAAACTGTAGCATTGGGGAGACTGGTGTGGGTATAACTGTAGCATTGGGAGACTGCTGTGGGTATAACTGTATCATTGGGAGACTGATGTGGGTATAACTGTAGCATTGGGTGACTGCTGTGGGTATAACTGTATCATTGGGAGACTGATCTGGGTATAACTGTAGCATTGGGTAACTGGTGTGGGTATAACTGTATCATTGGGAGACTGGTGTGGGTGTACCTGTATCGTTGGTTTACTGGTGTGGAAATAACTGTATCTTTCGGACACTGACATGGTTATAACTGTATCATTGGGAGACTGATGTGGGTATAACTGTATAATTGGGAGACTGGTGAGGGTATAACTGTAGCATTGGGAGACTGACATGGTTGTAACTGTAGCATTGGGACACTGATTTTGGTATAACTGTATCATTGGGAGACTGACATGGGTATAACTGTATCATTGGGAGAAGGACATTGGTATAACTGGATCATTGGGAGACTGATGTGGATATAACTGTATCATGGGGAGACTGGTGTGGATATAACTTTATCATTGGGAGACTGGTGTTGGTACAGCTGTAGATTTGGGAGACTGATGTGGTAATAACTGTATCACTGGGTGGCTGATGTGGGTACAACAGTATCATTGGGATACTGGTGAGGGTATAACTGTATCATTGGGAGACTGGTATGGGTATAACTGTAGCAATGGGAGACTGGTGTGGGTGTACCTGTATCGTTGGTTTACTGGTGTGGAAATAACTGTATCTTTGGGACACTGACATGGTTATAACTGTAGCGTTGGGAGACTGATGTGGGGTATAACTGTATAATTGGGAGACTTGTGAGGGTATACCTGTAGCATTGGGAGACGGCCGTGGGTATAACTGTAGCATTAGGAGACTGCTGTGGGTGTAACTGTATCATTGTCAGACTGACATGTTTAAAACTGTGTCATTGGGAGACTGATGTGGGTATAACTGTAGCAATGGGACAGATGTGGGTGTAGGTATAACTGTATCATTGAGATACTGATGTGGGTGTAACTGTATATCTGGGAGACTGACATGGGTATAACTGTATCATTTGGAGACTGATGTGGGTATAACTGTAGCAATGGGAAATTGGTGTAGGTATAACTGTATCATTGGGATACTGATGTGGGTGTAACTGTATATCTGGAAGACTGATGTGGGTATAACTGTATCATTGGGAGACTGGTGTGGGTATAACTGTAGCATTGGGAGACTGGTGTGGGTATAACTGTAGCATTGGGAGACTGGTGTGGGTATAACTGTAGCATTAGGAGACTGCTGTGGGTATAACTGTATCATTGGGAGACTGGTGTGGGTGTAACTGTATCGTTGGTTTACTGGTGTGGAAATAACTGTATCTTTCGGACACTGACATGGTTATAACTGTATCATTGGGAGACTGATGTGGGTATAACTGTATAATTGGGAGACTGGTTAGGGTATAACTGTAGCATTGGGAAACGGCCGTGGGTATAACTGTATCATTAGGAGACCGCTGTGGGTATAACTGTATCATTGGGAGACTGATCTGGGTATAACTGTAGCATTGGGTAACTGGTGTGGGTATAACTGTATCATTGGGAGACTGGTGTGGGTGTACCTGTATCGTTGGTTTACTGGTGTGGAAATAACTGTATCTTTCAGACACTGACATGGTTATAACTGTATCATTGGGAGACTGATGTGGGTATAACTGTATAATTGGGAGACTGGTGAGGGTATAACTGTATCATTGGAAAACTGACATGGTTGTAACTGTAGCATTGGGACACTGATGTGAGTAGAACTGTATCATTGGGAGACTGACATGGGTATAACTGTATCATTGGGAGAAGGACATGGGTATAACTGGATCATTGGGAGACTGATGTGGATATAACTGTATCATGGGGAGACTGGTCTGGATATAACTTTATCATTGGGAGGATGGTGTTGGTACAGCTGTAGATTTGGGAGACTGATGTGGTAATAACTGTATCACTGGGTGGCTGGTGTGGGTACAACAGTATCATTGGGAGACTGGTGAGAATATAACTGTATCATTGGGAGACTGGTATGGGTATAACTGTAGCAATGGGAGACTGGTGAGGGTTTAACTCTAACAGTGGGAGACTGGTGTGGGTATAGCTGTATCATTGTCAGACTGACATGTTTAAAACTGTATCATTGTGAGACTGACATGGGTAAAACTGTGTCATTGGGAGACTGATGTGGGTTTAGCTGTATCATTGGGAGACTGATGGGGGTATAACTGTATCATTGGGAGACTGGTATGGGTATAACTGTAGTAATGGGAGACTGGTGTTGGTGTACCTGTATCGTTGGTTTACTGGTGTGGAAATAACTGTATCTTTCGGACACTGACATGGTTATAACTGTATCATTGGGAGACTGATGTGGGTATAACTGTATAATTGGGAGACTGGTGAGGGTATAACTGTAGCATTGGGGGACGGCCGTGGGTATAACTGTAGCATTAGGAGACTGCTGTGGGTATAACTGTATCATTGGGGACTGGTGAGGGTATAACTGTATCATTTGGAGACTGGTGTGGGTATAGCTGTATCATTGGGAGACTGATGTGGGTATAACTGTATCATTGTCAGACTGACATGTTTAAAACTGTATAATTGGGAGACTGACATGGGTAAAACTGTGTCATTGGGAGACTGATGTGGGTATAACTGTAGCAATTGGAAACTGGTGTAGGTATAACTGTATCATTGGGATACTGATGTGTGTATAACTGTATATCTAGGAGACAGATGTGGGTATAACTGTATCATTGGCAGACTGGTGTGGGTATAACTGTAGCATTGGGAGACTGGTGTAGGTATAACTGTAGCATTGGGAGACGGCCGTGGGTATAACTGTAGCATTAGGTGACTGCTGTGGGTATAACTGTGTCATTGGGAGACTGATCTGGGTATAACTGTAGCATTGGGTAACTGGTGTGGGTATAACTGTATCATTGGGAGACTGGTGTGGGTGTACCTGTATCGTTGGTTTACTGGTGTGGAAATGACTGTATCTTTCGGACACTGACATGGTTAAAACTGTATCATTGGGAGACTGATGTTGGTATAACTGTATCATTGGGAGACTGGTGTGGGTGTACCTGTATCGTTGGTTTACTGGTGTGGAAATGACTGTATCTTTCGGACACTGACATGGTTAAAACTGTGTCATTGGGAGACTGATGTGGGTATAACTGCATAATTGGGAGACTGACATGGTTGTAACTGTAGCAT